TTACGGCAGAAAATTCCCGTCTGTCCCAAACATTCCACAAGAGACGCCAATCGCCAGTGAGAACAAATCAGAGTTTAATTTGAGGCTAGCCACCCTCACTTCCTTTGCCAATCTGGAAGCGGGGCCCATGGCTAACTTTGTTTCCCCTTATATACATTTTGGTTTCCATTGACAACAGATTGGGGTGTTACATTCTCTGACCCCGGTGGGCACGTGGTCTTTCTCTCATCCTGTTGGACCCCAGGTCAGTTGCAGGTCGCATGTCAAACCGTGATAGATGTCGTCTCCCCCCCCCCATTATCTCCTTTTTTACAACCTATGCATTCCTTTAGGGTTACAATGTTTACCTAGGGCAGGGAGATGGCACTACCCAGGCAGGGTCACGGAGGGTCACCTAGGCCTAGGCGCCCCCTTATCTTGGGGAGACATTCCTGGGCAGTGTTGATCTGAGGAATTAGCTCTTGCACTGTCCCGGGAGGCTTCCCAAGGCACCATGTAGGCTTTTTCCAAACTATTTTATCTAAAATAGTATGCTAAGATTCATTGCCCCCTGCACTATAAATTATGGTTAGAGTGGATAAATAAATTCTGTGCTCTATTGCATAGTAAAATGACTATGGATATTGGTAGTGTGTTGTATATTTCAAAAAACCTAGAAGAAAGGATTTTGAATGTTTTACCACCAAAAAAATAAATGCTTGATGAGATAGGTGTGTTTACTCTGATTTGAATAGTGTACAATGTATACATGTACTGAAACATCATGTGTACTTCATAAATATGGGCAACTTTGAGGTATTATTAATAAGTAACTGAAGGAATAAAATTTTAAAAAGCAAAATTTTAAGGAAGGAAGAAGGAAAGAAAGAAGAGAGAAAAGAAAGGAAAGAAAATAAAAAGGAAAGAAGGAAAGAAAGAAAGATAGGAAAGAAAGAAAGAAAAAAAGAAAGAAAGACAGAAAGAAAGAAAGGTGATGAGGTGCCAAAGGCAGTGTGTCAACTCTTAATATCATCTTTCTTACACACATTATTACGTGTGTGTGTGTGTGTGTGTGTGTGTGTGGTTGTTCTGCATTTGAACCTAGGGCATCTTGCCTGCTAGGTGGGTGGTCTACCACTGAGCTACGCCTCCAATGCAGCATTATAAGTTTAACAAATGTCTTTTGCTTGAAAGAAATAGATATCTGCTTCCTTTTAGGTATCACATGAATGGCAGTTGCTTTTATTTTCAGCGACTTCTTAAAAACGACGTTGTCTGGGAGGAGGGAAAAGAGAAAAAAAGGGGGGGGGAAATATATATATATATATACACAGGATAGCTAACATAGTTGTACTACGGACTTCTATTACTTTACTGAAAGGAACAGTTAATGATTAATTATTTGATCAATCTTGCATGTCTCTAATTGTTTTCCTGAGAAACCACTCTGAAGATATCAGCATATAATACAACAGTCATTATTAATTTCCTACCACTTTGTCTGTAATTCAGTACTGCTTGTATTGTTCTTATGCTATTTTGTAAATGGACGTCTGTTTGTTAATGTTTTCTTTCTTTTATTTTTTTAAAATAAATTAAAAACAAACAAGTCAAAACAAAAGAATGATGTTGTGTTCAGCCCAAATAGCATAAAATGAGAAATAGGGATAATTCTTGAGGAGCCAATCTATTATTAGAAATGGGTTAGTAGTAAGAAACTACTAATCTCGACTGCTAATGATGGTAGCCTCTCAACCTTTATTTCCTGGATAATCCTTGATTTTTATTCCCTTACTAAATCCCCTTTTCTGAATGTAATTAAATATGTATTCATTGTTAGTTGGTTTGAAAGGAGAGAGAACCTTTGCGTGTATAAATAGATTAATATATTCTTTTTGTAAATGACCAAGGGGAGCTAACTCATTCACAGCTAATGTTCAGCGAACAACTGTGAATGGATTTTGTGCATCCACTAGTGTTTTCTTAAGTGGATTAATTTGAGAATTTTTTTGATGGACTTTATTTTTTAGAGCAGTTCTAAAATTGATGTTAGTACAGAGAGTTTTCAGATTTATTTTCTATGATCCATATCTTCCATTGGTGTGATACATTAGCTAAAATTAATGAACTGATATTTGTGCATTATTATTAAGTGATATCAGTAGTTTCTTGAAATTTTCCTTCAGGTTTTCTCTAATCTTCTTTTTCTGCACAAAGATGACCTCCAAGATGACCTCCAGGATACCACATCACATTTAGTTGTTGTCTCTTTAGGCTTCTTTTGGCTATGACAGCCTCTGACTTGCTTTTGATGAGGTTGACGGTTTTGAGGAACACTAGTCAGATATTCTGTAGGATGTTCAATATTGGAATCTGTCTAGTGTTTTCCTTGCGATAAGACTGTGGATATGGTTATGTGAAGGAGAGCTACAGAGGGAAAGGGACATTTTCATTCCTCACACCCGGTCAATACATGTCAACATGGCTTATGAATACCGATGTCACCTTGGATCCTTTGGCTGAGGTAGTGTTTGTCAGGTGTCTCTGGTCCAAAGCTAATACTTTTATCCTCTCCTTGCATGTAATAAGCAGTAAAACACTAATTATGTTGACTTCTCCTCCATAACCATGAAATTTTGCTATTTTAAGTGCAAAACTATCCTTTAAGAAGATGAAAATGATATGGCATGATCAGCAAAGTCTTTGACATACTGTGTTTTTGGTACCATTTCCCCCATGGGGTTTCTTCTTTATTACTGTCTGACATGATTAAAGAAGCTGATAATCGCTATTGAACTACCCCATATTTTGAGAGTATTTGCATAGTAGACTTTTAATTCATATAATTTGGTTGGATAGAACTTTGAATTATCCACAAAATCTGACATGCATAGATGTTTTAAAATTCATTATTCTAATCCCTCTGTGTCAGACTATTGCATTTGTACAACATGAAAATGTATTACATTTTACATCAATGCTTGTAACTTCATAGTAGTACATTTTGAGGTGATTTAGTTTATGAGAAAGGGAGAAAAGTTCTGTTAAGATGGAGAATGTGCATGATGTATCCTGTGGAAGAAAGGCTTTTGTATGTTGCATATTCTTGTCGAAAGTTAGAAAACTGAAAAAGTTCTGAGTGTCACAAGCTGATGATCTGAAAAATTAAAGGGATCATATGTTATTTTTTATAATATAACTGATTAAAAGATTTCTGAAGTTGAGACAGATGTTTTTATTAAAGCTTTTTATAAAGCATGGTATTACATAATAAGTTTATAACTTTTTCATAGTAATTTCACAATGATGTTCAATTCTATATTTTAATTTATGACACAGCAGAATTCTTAGCAATAAATCTTTTATTTCTTTGGAGTAAATAACCCCGGTTACATTTAGAAATGCATGAAATACATTCACATAGTAAAATAATTATATTTATTTAAAATGTCTATACTTGAAATTTATTCAGGCAGAGTCAATTGATAGATTGACTAAAACATTCAGAATAAAACTAAGTTATAAAGTTTAAAATAATCAAAAAATTCTTGAATTGGCTGGTAAATGACGTGGTCAATAAACTTTCTGTATTTTATTTTACATTAATAATATATAATACAATCATTAGAATGATAATAATGATTAATAGTTAAATTGACATTGTCAGAGTGAAATCTGAGGTGAGTTACCTAATTGAGTGGAGTTTGGGACATTTTATTCCATGCAGGAGACTGGTGTGCATAAGTAAAGCTGGCAGAGCTGTGCATGCCCTACTAGCAGTTACCAGATTTAAAAACTTTCCAGGTGAAAGAGCGCCGGTTTTCTGGACAATGTTTCATGCTCATATTTTGTACTCTGAACAACTCTGTGAATATAGCAATACACATTGTGCTGATTATTGTTACTCTCCTACCAGCCTGTTTTGAAACTCTGTTTTATTCTTATTTCTTGCTTCTTTCTGTTTAAAATTCTTTAAAAAATGAAGCCTGTCAAATTTTTGATTCTGGCTACTTCCATTGAAGGTGACTGAGTTTATGGCCAGTGATGCTCCAGGCTTTCTTGCAGCTGTAGAAAATTTAATATCAGAAGAAAACATTCAGAAATAAGGATACTACATTATAAATAGAATATAATGAAGTTGGAAAGAAAGATAGAAACCATATATATAAAATATATATGTACTGGAGAGGAAGACTGAGCATTGAAATATAATACATGTAGAATATCTATTTGCTTCTTGTTTTTCAAGGAAAATCTTAAAATGAGTAATACCTCTTACTATGCTTCATTAACATTTATAACACAGAGCTAAAAGGAAAAACTCTGGTAATTTTACACTTTCCAAAGTACAAGACAGTGTAGTGGACGGTATTCTAGACTGAGAAAATATGGTGCTTATCTCAAAATTTTCACCCTTATCTCAGGGTCCCTGAGCTAGGCATTCAAATTTTTAACCTATTTGTATGTTTTAAAAAATTAATTTTAGACTTATTAATGAGATTTCAGTAAATCTTTATTTAGCTTTTTTTTTTTTTTTTTTTTTTACCAGGAATTGAACTCAGGGCCTTCCGCTTGCCAGGCAGGCACTTGTGCCACTGAGCTATATCCCTGGACCTTATTTAGTATTATGTAGTATTACCATATGTAATTGTACAAATGATATGTTACATATTTAATTCTTGTTAACAGTGTATGAGATGGTTTTCTACAAATTAGCTAACCAAGGCTCAGCAAGCCTAAGGCATTCACAGTGCCACCTGGCATGGATATGGCTGAATTTACAAGGGTGAGCAGATTGTTAAACTATTTTACCCAAGTGCAAAGTGAGCTAATTTTTTTTCCTTTGGTTTTAAACTGTATAATAACAGAATGTTGTGCCTTGAATTGTGTTCCCTCAAAGGATATGCTGAAGTCCTGACCTGGACCTGTGAATATGTCCTCGTTTGGAGATAGGGTCTTCTCAGGTGTAACCAAGGTAATAAGCAGATTTTCTAGAACAATGCACATTCCAAATCTAATGTGGCATCCTTAGAGGAAGGCAATGTGAAGACACACACACAGGAAAGCACCAAGTGAGAAGGAGGCAAAGTTTGGAAGGGTGCATTTGAAAGCCTAGAAAATCTCAGAGATTACTAGCAACCACCAGAAGCAAGGCCACAGGCATTTCCTTTTAGATGCTCAGAAAGAACCAATCTTGCTGATGCTTTGATTTTGGACTCCAGGCTTCTAATGTTCTGAGGGATTAAATTTCTATTTTAAGCTACCTAGTTTGTGGTACTCAGTTAGAGGACTCTAGGACACTCATGCAAATTTTCATCAATGTTTATCCCTTTTAATTTAGGAGAACAGATGAAAGGGCCTGTGTGTTAGTGAGAAACAGATGCTCTCAGGTGAGTTGATTTCACTTTCTTCTACTAGATTTTCACTTTGATGCTGGAATTTGGAGAAAGTTTATTTTTGTTTGTTATTAAACATTTTTAACAGAGTGTGGATTTTAAGCAAAAACACATCTTTTGTAAGATTGTAGAATATGGGAACATGGACTCCAGTCCTTCTGTTCAAAGTATTCTGTGTATATTTTAACAGGTAATATTTTTGCCCTGTTTTTTCAAAGATTTCTTATTAAGAACTCCAGTACATTAGAAATTATTTGAGTTAACTTGGTTTTACAGGAAAGTTTTATGGGAAAGTTGGTTTTACAGATATACAGGAAGGAGACAATGCATTCCTTTCTCCTAACATGAAGTATCAGGAAAGATAAATGGGCTTTTTCTAGATGCCTTGTCAGCATTAAGAAGTAAAATAGTGGTTTCTCACTGTGTTAGGTAGTGGTATAGTCTCTGCAAGAAATTGATATTTCTCATGTACTATTTTTCCAGGTAAAGTTATTGGAAAAACAGTCCATTTAAAAGAAGGCAGAAGCATAACCAGAAATGGCACTTTAAAACACGACTGAATTTGACATATTGCACAGTTAACTAAAGAGTCAGCCATATGGAAGTTCATTCTGATGATATGGCATCAGTGAAATGGTGAAATGTGACCATTTTAACTTGTTAGGCTATTTATGTTTTATAGAGGCATCATGTCAGAACTACCTGTAATTTAAAAAAAAAAACATAAATAAATACCTGGGCCTATCTTTGAGATTCTGGCTTAAAAATGTATGAAGCCTGGATATATGTAATTTCAAACAATTCTGCAAGTGATTCTGGTGTGAAGTCAAGGCTGGAAATAATGAAAATAACAGAAGTGACTGTTGCTAATAAAATAAGATATCTCTTTTGCCTATGCAGATAGCATAAGTTTTGATATATAAAAAGTGTTCTGGTTTTGTAATGCAATTTCTGTAACTATACCACGTTTAATTTTACTTGCTCTTGTTCAGCTGCTGATAGGAGCCAGGTTTTCAAGTTAATTTTTAACCTAGGCTAGTCAACTCTTCCACAGGCCATGTTGATTTGTGTCATTTGTGTTAAATGGTTAACTCAAATGTTAACACTGGAAATGCCAGTAAAGAACTGTGACAAGCTACCATTAATTTGAATAGCTTTAGATAAGTAGGTTTTCCTAATTTTTGAGACCAACTGAATATTATATACCACTCATTAAAACATATTCCTATTATAAATTAAATATAATTTATGTGCAACTAATAATTGTGACACAACGATGTGTCTCCAGAATAAAATTTTAAGAATATTTTTCTATATTTTTGAGTCTTTCTTTCCTGGGTCTCAAATAATTTTTGACCTTTATATAACGAGTTTTTTGATCTTAGGCCAACCAACAGAGCCTAATAAGAAAATGGTCTTGGGAACATTAAAACCATCTCAGGAATTTGGTTTAAGATATTGCTTACATCTTCCAAAGCTACTTTGTCAATTTTAGCTCAGTTTAATGTGAAATATATTCAAATTTCATTAAATGGTATATAAGTGGAATATAAAGGCTTCTAAGAGCTCAGTATTGTGGCACTTGAAGATAAAAAATATTTTTATTTTCAGTTTCTTGAAGTTGAAGATAAATCATCAGATATATGCACAAGATGTCAAGTCAGAGTGACCTGAAATGGGTGTGTGCAGAAGTTAGGTCAGAGCATTACTTAGCACTGTAGTCAAGGCCCACATTCCTGGTCTAACCAGTGGCTGGTGTGCGCAATCACACATGCTCCTTTGTGCTGACCCATACTTAAGATGCATTTCTTTGTGAATCTGAAGGGACATTTAGCTCACCTTATTCAATGTCATTTATATAAGTGCAGTTATTTCACTGCTTCACTAAAACTGATGCTCTGTTTTAGAGAATCTTAGAAGCTGTCGTGGTTCAGCTGAATGATTTTATGAACATTTCACTGAATATCGTACTTTTTTATACTATGCTTTTAATTCTAAGTTATTGGGCTATGCACAGAAAATGTGCTGTACTAAATAACAAAACAGATCAATTGAAAGGACACTCACTACCCAGAGCATCTTTTCAGGTCTGAATGTGAACCTGGATGATGAATGGAAGATACTTCAGAGGACAGATATTCAGCACTTCAAGATACACACACACACACACACACACACACACACACACACACGCCTCTGTTGATGTTATGTAGTGCTCATTACTCAAGGTGATAAAATATTTCATAATTGTTCTTTCAACTGACTGACTATATCAATTCTGAATCTGATATTTTCTCTGTTGTTCCCACTATTGGATTTCTCAAAGTTGTCAAATATACCACAGCATATCTTCTAAAAGTATGAGATAGGAACTCTGATGATATCAACATATAAGAAACTTATTTTCTTTGCTATAACACAAAGCTGTAGCTTTCTTTTGTTAGCACAAGCTGAGTTGTTGAAAACTTTAGGCAATTCTATCATTGTTCTTGATGTGAAGATAGCCTTATCTCTATCCCAATGTGCTAACCCTAGAGCCAAGTTGTCTAGGTTTGAGTCCCAGCTCAGTTCATAGCTGAGAAATCCTTGGAAAGTATGTAAACTCCCTGTGTCTAGATTCCACCTCCCAGTGTAAAATGAAACTAATAATAATACCTGTTTCAAGGAATTAATGTGAGCACACAATAGCTTACTGATTACTAAGCTCTCTGAGCAGCGTCTGACTCAATTAGAAAATTTTAACCATTGCTATTCTGTGGTTTCTTAAAATATATCTTTTCATACACATTTCGACATTTTTTTCCTTAAATTTTCTCCCATGGTTTAGTTGGCAAATATAAAATTTGAGATAACATTCCATTTCTTAAGAAAATCTGCAAAGTATAAATATAAATTTCTGGCTATTTGAGCTCAAAGAGAAGAGGATGATTATGTTGCTGTGTCTATGAGCAGGGTTTTGAACTGTAAACTAAAATACCTCAACCAAAGAAATCATGAGTAATCGGGCACTTTAGTTAGTATGAAAGTCATGTTTAAGATATACATCAAGAAAGCAAATTAAAAGTTATTTAGTAAAAAAGATGTTCAGACAAAATACCAACCAAGTACCTCTTAAAGGTCAATTACAAATAGAGAGAATGAAGACTTTTGACCATGAACTTTTCTATCTGTTGAGTGCTAAAGTTTTGAATATTTGAGGAAAATTGTAATTTTAATCTAAACAATTTTGACTGTGTAGTCAATGATTTTCACATTTATTAAAGTAAAATATATTATTATTAATGTTTTTGACACCAAGAATTGAACTCATGACCTCACACTTGCCAGGCAGGTGCTTTGTCATTGAGCTATATCCCCAGTTGTAAAATATATTACTTAACTAGTATAGAAATAAAAAATTGTATTAAAATGTAATTTGCTTTATAAACCCATTCTGTGATAAATACTATTAACATATTTAAATATTTCCATGCAAAATTTAATACAGTTTCACAATTTGGGTCCAACTGTCCAAAAGAATGTCATATCCTATTTCTATTCAAGAAACCTGTGTCAAATATTCTACAGAAGCATGAGTTTTAGCAAGTGACTCATTGTCCTGATGTGTAGCTCTATCATAATTATCTTCACCATGTCTCCTTTCTTAGACATTTAGATTTAAAATTTTTGCTGCTGTAGATACAATTGCAGTGAGCATTCTCTTATGAAAATTCTTTATTTTACTGTGGACTTAAAATCCATTTCAAGAAATGAAATTTCTGTGTATTAACATCCTTGAGACAGAAAACTGCTTGCTTTGCTTTGCTTTTCTTCTTTTCTTTTCTTTTCTTTTCTTTTCTTTTCTTTTCTTTTCTTTTCTTTTCTTTCCTTTCCTTTCCTTTCCTTTCCTTTCCTTTCTTTTCTTTTCTTTTCTTTTCTTTTCTTTTCTTTTCTTTTCTTTTCTTTTCTTTTCTTTCCTTTTCTTTTCTTCTTTTAAAGACTTCTCATTTTGTTTGCATTACACCCTGTCAGCCCAGGAAGGCAGCTCTACTTCAGGAGTCCCCAGCTCTCCTTACCCACTTGACACCTGAAACCTACATGGGAGGTTGAGCCCTAGATAAACAATGCACAGGACCCAAATACTTTCTGCATATTATAACAGAATTCATTTAGCAAAGAGGGGGATAGGAACCAGTGCTCATGATGCCTACACTTTTATAAACATTGACACAAATGTGCAAATATGAGGGTACCACATTGTGTGCCCATGAGACCACTACATTGGCAACCACATCCATGAAATCGTGAGGATCTGCCCCCACTGGAGCCTAACAAGTGCCAGGGTGAAAACGAGGCAGTCACTCCATGCCTGAGGGGTCATATGAGACAGCACCGATGCTCTTGCTCATAGAAATTCTTCACAGGGGCAATCTTCTGGATAAGTCTGGTGAAGATACATTGACTTTGTAGTCAGGTGCAAATAGCAGAGCGAAAGATATTGCAGGCTTGAAGGCTGGTGACCCTACCTATGTCAAAAACAAAATATGTGATAAGGATATTATCTAGAATACCTTGGAAATCAATTTGTGTGCATATAGAGCACATGGAAGGAAAAATGCAGATATTTCATGAGTAATGGATTTTTAAACCATTACTTGTGTAGGCTTACTAACAAGATGAATTTAAGTTATGTCTGTTTGCTTGCTGAGTTGAAAAAGTTGACTAAAGAGTCTCTAAATGGTAGAACACCTAGATGCGAAAATCCAGTCTTTAAAAAACCAACTTCCTTACTCATCCTAGATAACTTCAGTGGGCCTCAGTCAATCAGTCAAAAGACCTTATAAGCAAAACTAAGCTCTCTCTTAGGAAAAAGAAGCCCTGCACTGTGGGCTGCAGCTAGGAAATGTCTCATTTGTTAATGTGCCCTGCAGTTTTTGGACTCAAAGTCCCATAATTGTGTAAACCTATTCTTTGAAATCACATCCTTACTCATTCTCTCTCTTTTCTACTTCTTTCTACCCTCCCTTTCCTTCTCTCTCTTTAGAACTGTAATTGACTGATATAGGTAAATTCATAAATGCATCTTAAGTGTGAGTTTTTTCTCTAAGTCTTCTAAATTTCATCAATATAAACTACAGTATAATAAACTAAATACTATTCTTATGTAATATGTTGTGAAATCTTATAGTATTTGTATATTGCTCAGCTTTTCATCATTGTGACAAAATACCTAAGAAAAACAACTTAGAAGAGTAAATAGTCATTTTGACTCACAGTTTCAGAGGGTTTAGTTCATGGTCAGCTGTTTCCAAGGTAGAAACATCACGGTCGAAGGACATGGCTGAAGAAAGCTTCTCACTTTATGGCAGCCAAGAAGCAGATGGCAGAGAAGAGCCTGAGAGGAAAGGGCTGGGGACCAGATATAGTCCCAAGGTCATGCCCTTGTCCTATCCCGACACACAAAAAAATGTGCTTTACTAATCTCAGTATCTGCCTAGCCAATCAAGCTAACAATCAAAATTAACCATTCCAATTAGTCTTAGAATTTAAACAGAAGAAAGAAAAAGATGATTTTCTACTCAATACAATGCTAAGCTAATGGGTGGCAGCACACCTCCCTGTACCAGCAGCAGCAACACAGAAAGTGTATTCATCCTCTCAAGTGATATAACAAACATTAAAAAATAAATGTAAGAGCTTACTTTATGTAATCTCTATTCAAAAGTATTTATTGTGCTAGTGGCACAGGCTTCCTCTTATAGTAGTGGATTGCTGACAAGAGAGTAGGGAATATGCACTTTAGCATAAATACATTTTTACTGGTGGCTTTTCTCAATAGCCTGGAAATTCATATAAGAGTGTTGTTTACATCTCTTGTGTTGGGAAGATAAAGCTTGTGTGTTCCTGATTTGTGGGAAGATATTCACCCAAATTGCTTTATTTTCAAGGGAACACAATTTGATGTGAGAAACAGTTCTCAGAATCGAGATACCATTTGCTTCTCATTTTGATTAAACATCAGGCTGCTGTGGATTCATGTTAATGCACCTCTATTCCAAAACTTACTGGTACGGGTAATTTTGTAACTAAAACAAAACAAAACAAAACCCCAGAAACTATTCTGACAAAGCTGAAAACTCAAATGACTGCACTATAAATGTAGGCACATTATCAGAAACTGTTAGGGGCTGAGGATTTAGCTCAGCGGCACAGCGCCTGCCTGGCAAGTGCAAGGTCGTGAGTTCGATTCCTAGTA